CTCTCTTTCTCTCTCCCCCCCCCCCTCTCGCTTCTTCGAGGATTCGCCACAAGTGTCATTAATACTCAAATTCATATGTATATATATATATATATATATTGTACAAACTCTTTTGTGCCTCCAACAAGTATCAGCTTTAACTCCAAATGATAGATTAGTCATTTGCATCGGGCGAAGGTTTTAGATAAGAGGTTGAGTCTAATATCTCGAGGCCATAGAATTCCGTATCGGACACTTCTCCTTTTCGTGATATGCAATACGCACTGCCACAATTTATATCGTGTCTCGTTATGGCTCGTATCATGCACGATAAATTCTCCCCAAGCTCGATAACCGGCGCTGTTAACTTCCCTACTTCACGTTTCTCTTCCAAGACTCTTAACGTACAGATATAAAAGACACTTGTAATTACAAAGATTCGTATAACCATGACGTAGGGCAACGTTGTCGACTACGCTAATCAATACGTCATCCATTTCACGAAAATCTCGTTACTCGTATCTGTACAGGCGCTACCATATTCAATAACGATTGTCATTACATGTTACTACGAAAATTTCATAGCCAAAGAATTAATCGTAAATTTTTTTTTTTTCAACTTTGATATCAACCTGATACGAGATAACAGACTGTCGTACGCGTTGTTCAGATAATGTCAAGAGAACTCCACGAGCCGTCCTTTCCTTATTTTACAGGGTGTTTCCGAAGTACGAAATAAATTCGTGGGTCGACGTTTCGTCGAAAAGATTTGGTCAGGGCGAAAAAAATGTTTGTCGATTTAGCTAAATATTTATTACGAATAAAAAAAATGAGACTATTTACGTCTCTTCGATTTAACGGTACTCCTTCCACGTGCTACGTCCACTTTAATTTTACTTAATAATTTCATCGATCGGAGAGTAATCGCGAAATTGTACCTTTCGTAAAATCGTTAATTCAACCAATTGGGAAGTCCGACTTGAAGGCACATTCTCTCGGCCTCACGTTATACCTAATATTGATCGGCACGAATACCGGCGAGTTGCAGTTGCCGTGCTGGCGCATTGTACCGAGTAGCCAGTAGTCCCTCTTCTTGTTCTCTCTTCAGTTGGCCGTAAGTGACTTCGAGAGAAGAACTTGACGATCCGATCTTTCGCTACCGCAGGTACATTACTACGAGTACCGGGCTTATTCGCTATGTAAATGGGATAAGTCTGTCCCTCTTCTTGGAATACTGGAAAATTCTCGTGTACTTAATATATATATGTATTATATATATATGGTATATATTGGTGTATCGTGTAAGTTGGCGGTTTTTAACGCGGGGACGATTAATACACGTGGCATTGGGTGATAAATAATTGATAATCAAGATAACTAGATGTATTGCGCGTGACTCCCGTAATCGTAAGGATATTATCGATTAACGTAAAGCATTACAGGATAATATGATTTGTCAATAAGCATTTAGAATTTTTTTATCAGTACTTGATGCATAATATATATCGTGTGCGAATACGTCTGTCTTATGTGGTTTGGACGTATGTTTTTCCTGTTTTTCTTTCTTTTTTTCTTCTTTCGAACAGGGATACCTTGGGGATAGGAATGAATTCACGCTGATGGAAATTACGTGAAATTATACGAGAGTTTGAACTTTATGCTCGTCTAAGGGCAAAGGTCAAGTCGTATGGAGGGAATGGAGGAATTTTTTTTTTTTTTTGTTGAAGAGGTGAGAATGCGATATGAATCCGAGTATTATATGGTATGGCGTTTCTATCATGGCTGCCGATCAAGATTTACGAGCTGGACGTCGTAATGGATTACAAGGAGGTTTGGCGTATGCGGCAATTACCACAGCATTTATTAATCATTTATACGTAAAGATTCTTAATGGAGTTTACTTGTTCGACGTGCTTTGCTTTCGCGACTAGACGCCTATCTTGACCCGGTCGGTTTGCAGTCCGTCGCGACGTCTTCGTCGTGTCAGAGAATGCGCGTTGATTTTTGGTTTGGTTATTTACTCTTTTTTTTTTTTCTAGCGAATAAATTTTCACTTTTGTTGCCTCTCTTTTTATCGTTTTTATTCATCCGGATGCTTTGGAAAATCTTTCAGTGACGTTGACGGGGACGAGGGAGAATCGAGAAATGCTGAATATTCAACGAGCGACGTAGTTGCTTTTTGACTTTAATGTATTTTTCTTTGACTTGACTTGAATAATTTTTTTTTTCTTGCGTACATGCATGTGTAAGACGATATTAAATAAAAAATCTGTCAAAGGAACACGATATAAATGTTTATGCACGCTGACAAAGTTGTTCCTGTGAATGAACTGGATGTAGAACGATTGAGATTAGTGGGTATGAACGCGACATAATTTTCTAGTAATTACCAGCAACCGCCAGGGGGTCATAAGTCGTTGGAAAATATTGCGTTTACGTCCTTCGCATAATATTACGAGCACCTCTCGATTCACGCTTGCGAAGGACGAGTTAGGAAAGGTGGACAGAGATACGAGGAAAAAGAAGTAAAAAAGAAAGAATTAGAAAAAGAAAACACCGAAGAAGAGAGGCAGGAGAAACAAGTGAACCTTATAAATATTAATGAGACGCGCGCTGAGCCCGATTGCCGCGCAACGTCAACCTGCACAGTCACCGTCGCAAATATCCACAGAATTATCGTCGATTAACGTGCCTTTTTCTTCAGCCGTGTCCCGGTTGCGATAAACGATCTCCAGTGAAAGTGCAACCGAACGACCCTCCAAGCACGATGAACGGATGCTGGGCGAATTCTCACCTCACGTCATATGACCAGGAACGCCGTCACTAGTTTAGACCGTTAGAAAATTTCCACGAATTTTTCAAATCACAATACTTCATTCGCGTAGATAATAAGACGTAAAGAAAAATATATGTCATACACGTTTTAATGTAACGACGCGTATCCTGATGCAGGTAAAGTATTCTCTATTTACTGTAGAAATTCGTAACTCTCGTCAGTCGAAGCTTTACGGCGCAGCCCGTAGTTCTGTACTTCGTGAAACTTGGGTTAGGCGTCCCCTCGTCGTGTACGGGATGCCTGTGCGAGGCCCACGCCTTCTTTTATTTTTTCATTTAATATGTCGCCTGTCGAACCTTCGTGCTCTGTGTTCTCATGAAGAGGCGGCTTGTCGAAGACAACCTGTAGTACACGGCACACACTGCAGAGTAGGTATGCGTCAGTGCTTTGAAGAATCGTCAATTAATTCACGAGAGCAACTGTGAGGATTTTCACGGGTAGAGAGAAGCGCGCCACTAGCGCCGCGTCGCGGCGTTCGCTGGAAACTCTTGTTCGAAACGAAGCGGCCCAGCTGTTCATTTTTTAGACTGCGTCATTGCTGCTGATCATTAATTATCCGAACTTGTGACGATATTACGTGCTCGTCTGTATGGTTTTACGTACTCGTATATGTGTATATATATTGCAACTCCATTGTGTACCAGCTTACGTACAACGAACACGTGTGTTTGCTACGCATCTGATGCCAGACACTTTACGCGGTACTCGCTGTATACATATATATTATACTGTCTGGATATACGCTACAGTATGTCGTATATTAGAAAAGCGGAGAGACACGACGATCCGGTAACTTGACAGGCCTAATTTTTTACTGGCAAATTCCACAGGTCTTTTTTACCATTACGCCAAGTTTATTATTGCTGGTAGGCCCTGCTCCGTAAATACGTTCACCGTTGCGTTACTCAGCGTCGGTTTCCAGCCCTTCGGGAAATTATTATTAGTTTAGACGTATACCCGATACGGTTATTTGTCGTTTAGCAGGGTTATTGTTTTATTAAGACAGTCGCTGATTGCTTGTCTTTAGTTTTCAATTTTCTTTCGTCCGTATCTGTATTCTTGTAAGGTCTGACGTCACTCGTCGATCTCTTTAAATTTGGCTGGAACAACATTGTACGGTGATAAACGATGGAGAATAAAAGGGTCAGTGCCGTATAAATTGGTTCCTCGAGGGCCCATCGAGATTGTATCTAAAAATACTTCGAAACTCGAAGACATTCTTTCGGAATATTGTTGGCTGCTGCTTTTCATTTATTTCCTCTAGGATCTTCGTTGATCCGTTCGTCTATCCGCGTAGAACGCTCGATGGGATATAAATCAGGATTTGGATAATTCGCCGAAACTTTTTCTCAACTTTATTTATTTCCTACGTTTCTGTCGCAAGACGAGACGAACGAAGCGCGCGAAATTCAAATCGATTTCTCCGTCATACTCGGTCGTTCACGGAAAAGCACCCGGTGCGTCGTTCACGTGTGGGCCCGGCTTTAACCCGACACTCTTACCCACCGACTATTTATGACTTTGCCCATTGTGGCCACGTCGGTGCGTGACTGAGAGACGCGGCTGCTTCGACCTTTTTTACGCACTTCGAGACTCGACGGGGACGCTGCTCCGAGAGACCAAGTGGAGGTTGTGGCCGCTTTTGTTTCTCTGCATCTGTATTAATATACAAAAAAATTTTTTTTTCAAAAGCCAGTTCAAGATCCACGCATTTCAGTATACACGCAAATAGATCCTTGATCAGATATTTATCAAAATTTGTATCACGTTCGATTTGATCGATTCGATGGCAAATATCGTCGCGAAACGTGGCATTTGCCATCGAATGCTCTGCTGTAATTTTACTGATAACGTTACCATCGTTAAAAACCATTTCGATAGTCTTATCTCATTGCCAGTGTCGCGAACGTTAACGCGGCAGCATCCCGGTTCAGGGACAATTGTTTCCAGTCGTATTATGCCTGACAGGATTGGTGAATATTTCAGCCACTCCTACTCGACTGTACGTATAAGGTGTCCGAGAATCAATCGAAACCAGACCTCTCCTTATCTACTTGAATCGAACGTGATATCAGTAGGATGGCTCCTCGTGATCTTGTAAAATCACATTCTATCGTATACTTAGATATGGCCCAGTATTATTCTAGAAATGTTTCAGAAACTCACGACGCGTGTATGCCCAATTGGTTAGAGACCTTCTCCAGCTCGTCCGGCAGTTTTCGGATGAATAGCAGTGTCCATGTACTGTTTGATTAAAAAAAAAAATAAATAAAAAAGGTATAAAAGACTCAGCGAAACGAAGATAATATATTCTCAAATAAATTACAAATACATTCAGATGCTCCTTAACGAACCGAGGCTACGCTTTTGACTGATGGAACGTTTTTTAATTAAATTCTATTTTTTTTTCTTCCTCAAATTTCTTGTTACGACCGTGTAAACATTGTCTAGCGTACTTCCGTCAATATCCAACCGAGGCAAATTTTTGTACGCACGTACGTGAATGATACAGTCGATTTGTAAGAGGTTCCCGTTGCCGTGTGACATGTTGGTATATTTTCGGCGTGCCATCAGACCCGTGTCAGCAACCATGACGGACGAATAGACACCGACAACAGGAGAACAGACGTGTACGCGGCTCCGACTGAAAGTCAAGAGGTAAAAATGCTGCACACCAGTCGGTTTGGTACGCCTGATTCTACCGTTGGGCCGCTGTGTCTGCTCGGCTGATGGCGATGATGGTGCCGATGCTGGTACTCCTGGTACTGTCTCCACGCCGTGGCAGCCTTTGGCGTGGCCTCCACCAGCACATCCCGTTTTCCTGGCGGCGGGCCAGAACTTATGCCAGGTTTCAACATACCGGCTGAGATGGATATTTTCGGGTTTATACAGGAACGAGCCTTTGTCGAAATCCGACGAGGCTGTCGTTGAAATTGAAAATTTAACCGAGTCCTGACGACCGGCGATGCTTTGGCGTTAGAGACAGGTTCAGGCATGTTTATAGGAGGCCAGTCGCGATTCGTCGAATATGACGATATGGTGGATACGTATACAGTGACAATGCAGCACAGTTCAATCTGGTCATAAGCTCGCTTGTTATAAGCGCCTTCTACTCTGGTCATTTTTCCTGGAGCGCGTGAAATTTCAATTTATATATGCATATATATGTATGATCGAACACGTGGCACTTTTGAGATTAAGACAGCCGAGTTCGCTCGAGGACTTGCAACGAGTAGTATCGCGCAATAGGATAATACTGGCAGTGGTGGTGGAGACTGTAATTCTGAGAAATACTTCGCCTACAGCCCCCAACGAGAGACTGGTAACCAGATTGGACTGGCATTCAGTCTCGAGTACCCCTTTATAATTTTTTAAGTATATTCACCAGTTTTAGGTTAGCTCTTGGTAACATTTAGAATCGTCTACTACGGTAAAAATTCACTGAAAGAACTTGAACCTTGCGTAGATTTGTATTTTGGGTTAACTTACCCGGTTCTTTTCCAGCAGTTTTTGCGCGTCTACACAATTACCAAAAACAAGCTAGATAAAGAAGTACTTATCGCATTAGACACGTTCGTCTTGTAATGATACACCCGTTAGTGTTACTTGGGTTGGCTCTATCAGTGCCTTCGCCTTATCTCCTCCAGTTGCCTTGTCACTTATGCTTGCTTAAATTGTTTATGATTTCGTGACAGTGCCCTTACGATTTCGTCATCCCAACTGTCCAAAGGGTCTCAAGATGGCCGCGGTTACCGACACGACGTTACACCAGTGACAGTATTACTGCGCGATCAGCGAATGTGGAAAGACTCGATTAAATTTTCAAGAAATTAGTCCAAAGGTTTCTTGAATTAACACCTCCACGAGTAACGCACCGGTCTAACATCTGACGGACGTACGAAGCGCCACATCCGATAGACTCGGTCGGTAACTCCGTTCGCAACTAACGACAGACGCCGTAAGCCAAACTACACGACTCTCTGAATTATCATACAAGCCAACTTAGCTAATAGTATCGCATACAACCATTCTTCATTTTCTCTCTGTATTTTTACTTCTCTATGCGCATCTATTTATTTATTTGTCTCTCGGCCGATAACTGATAAGTTTCCGCCTCGTACGGGCCAACCGGGTTAACGAGGGACCCTGAATATCCGTACGACGAGCAACTTCGTGTGCTCTATATACATATACATATATATACATATTTATAAAACTTACTTAAACCTATAAACGAAATGCTTATCGTTGGAATTGTTGCGATAAATAAGTAGAAGAAATGTTTGATAAAAGACTTTGATGGAAGTGTTACTTCTTTCTTTGTTTTCTTAACGTACGTCACCGACTCGCCTAGTTAGTGACTACAATGAAAAAGCTGCAAAAGTGTATTACAGGTACACGGCGAAGCCTATTCGTAGCTGCCACGGAATACGGCTTCCCCTGGAAGGTTCTAGCTTGCGGCGAAGAGGTTTGTGGGAAGTGCACTGGCATTTGTTCATTTTCAATTTGGCGCATGCGCAGTGCGCGACCCTATGACAGTTGACTATGAAAATAAATAAGAAACGTATAACAGATAACGCCGATAAAATGCATAGAAGCTACGCTATGCGTATACGCATACACACGTATCCACATCTAGCGTATTTTCTCGTGACTGTTCGCGACGCTCGCCACAAATACGCGGCGACAAGAAGCGACAGTACTTTAAATACGTGGGCGTCGTTTATACGTATCTATATGATTTTCTCGTGCGTATTTCGAATCTCGTGACTTTTTTTTAACGGCGTCGCAACGCCACCGGCCGATTCGTGCCTGCGGTATCCTACCAAGCGAATCCGTGACGTTCGACAGTCTTCTACAGTGGTGCCAATGTAAAATATGGTAATATCCGTGACCACGTGGATCAACCTCGCTCTCTCGCACTTTACGTATACGTATCTTACGTACGTGAATACGTAATAAGTACGCCTACTGTCAACCACATAGGAATAGAGTGTCGCGCGCGGACGACAAACACGCGAGTTTATCGGCCGATGGGACTGACCATTAACTTTGAACTTAACCAGTGCGATGTCAAAGGTCATTTCCGGGAGTGGGAAGGGGCGGGAGGTCGTTACTTCGTGACAGGTGTATGCATTTTTTTTTTATTTTTTCTTTTTTTTTTACATTTTTACTAGAAACATCTTTTTGTGGTGTACGTTGAAATTTTTTTTTTTTAAATCCTAGTTTAATAAAATACAAATACAGTGTCAATAAGATCCGAGCAAACGTCATCCTCAAGAGGCGACGACTCGTTAATCCTCCCAACGGGATTCCTGGCTGCCAAAACTTTCGTCGAAACGCTTAACGAACCGAAAATATCTCTAGGGACGACCGGCGTCGCTCGTGGCTGGGAAGATTTCCAGATATCGGTACCGATTTGGCGTCATTGACCGCTGATCTCTTTGGGCGCACCTTCATGCATTATTTATTTACATGATAATAAGTATATAATTGAATATGATTATTGGTACGTGTATATATATATATATATATCCTTTGTACATTCGATTTGTACACCTGGGAACAAATAACGTACTTGGGTATTTTCGAATTTTTTTTTAATATTTTTTTTTTCACCGATCACTCACAAGTATTTGACATTATTTTGAATCATCGGAATTCAGATGGACCACTCTCCTCTGTCTTGTGACTCGGTTTCGCTTTTATTATTAGAAAAGAGAGAATTCGATGCGGACTACAAAACGGCGCTGTTCGCGTCATTCACGCGTTGACGTTAAAAGCCGTCTGCGTCACGGTATCAAAGAATAAAAAAAATGATCTGGTTACCAAGGCAACAAAGACGAATGTATCCATGGAGAGGGATAAAGATAGTTGGATTTTTAAAGGAAGTGGGTGGGAACGAACGACGTAGAGAAAATTGGAGGTAATGCGAAAGAAAGGCGGGTTATTTAAATTGATATTAGGAATGGTGGTGGAAGGAAGGAGCATTTTGTTAATGATTATTTCCGGCTAGCACGCGATCATTAGTCAGAATTGCTTTTGAAATTCTCGCTACAGTGTTCTGACGTAGGAATGAAACTTTGAAAAAAAAAAAAAAAAAAAAAATTGAAAAAAAAATAAAATTGTCTCATTCATCCTTGTACAAATTTCTCGGATGGCTGTACGTCTCCTTTTTCTCTTTTTGCTTTATCTCTCTTAATTTTCAACGTCGTTCGCACGACCTCGTTCGTTTTTGCCACCTCTTGATAATTGTTCTAATTAGCGAGAACCAGTTCTACGAAGTTTCAGAATCGGATCTACGATGTAAGTTATATTTAAAAAAAAAAAAAAAAAAAAATCTTTACCGCGATACAAATATAGTTGATAAAAATATCCTGTCAGAAAACAAAGTGACAGATTTGACAGCTGTCACGTTCAATTTTCGTATTTTACACGGTAATACTTTTTTTTTCGAATTTCCCGCCATAAAATTTAAACTAATATCGAGCATTCACCTGTCCAGATTCAAAAATTATAATGGTCCTCATGGAATAGGCTAAAGGCGATTTATCGTATCGTCCATAGGCTCCTTCCTGTCGGAGGTCCACATAGAGAAACGTGGTCCGCGAGCACATGGCGCACTCGAGAGGCTCAAATGTGCCCAGCAGGCATATCGCCGTAGCACAGAAACGTTAAGCTAAGCCAGAGAAGCGCTAAGAATGAGGATCGGTTAATACCGCGTTGCACCAGCCTAGGCTAGAATAGCGAAGCTTCGTCGAGCTTTGGCTTCGGCCATCCTAGAGTTGCTAGGCGAATGATCACGTGGTACAGTGCGTGCGTGTGTGAACGCATCATTAGCGAGACTATCATTAGCCGGCAAGGCCGTGCCAGGGCCGGATTTTCATCGTCATCGTCAAGCAGCTTCAACAACTGCACATCACCATAGGCATCCTCGTATTGGCCTCGGAAAAATTGGATATGAAAAGAAAAGATTTGGATTTTGACAAAAAAAAATGTTAAACCAACCATTAGTACCGATAAAGTCCAGGAATCAAGGTCCTGGTGGGTGCAGGGCTTCGATTTGACGATTTCGTATAGTAGCCGTGAGTGCGAGAGAGACACGCCTATCGCCGTTAACGCGAGCGAGACAAAGACGGACATATCTTTATTTTCCATTCGCGCTTCTTTTTTCCCATTTTTCATTTTCTACCGAATCATCGCTGAATTAATGACATTTTGTATAAAACAAATGAGACGTGAATTTATTAATTTTTTTTTTTTTACGTGGAATAAAAAACAATGTCAAAGTTTCACGATACATTCATTCACGGCTTTGCGCGTCGGTATAACAGGGACCGATGATATCGACGTTCAGTCCAGACAATTACCCGAGGACGGCGAAAAGTCCTGACCAGGTGCAACCTCATCCGCACGTCTCCCGCCGGACAGATCCGACCCGGAGGATCGTTCGCTCCCGTTGATGTCCCCCCTGAAGCTGTCGTTTCGCGGACCTCGTCTCCCGGAGAAGGTCACCCTGTCTCCGGCATCCCCGTCGCAGCATCTTCCCATCTTCCTGCGTCTCCTCCTGCGTCTACTCTTGGACTTACATCTCCTGCGATGACGGCGCGGTCTTCTGCAGGACCTTCGGCGGGGTCTTCTGCACGACTTTCTACGTCTTCTTCGGCGGGACTTGCAGCGGCCATGACGGCTACGTCTCTTTCGTCTACGACGCCGGGAGTGACGCTTGCACCCTCGGCGCCCGCGCTTCAGGACGATGTCCTCCACGGCGTCCATTGGGCCGTTCCTGATGTCTTGATCGCCGCATCTGTAGTAACCCCTGGGGAAAATTGATTTATTGATTTTTAATCGATACAAATTTTATTATTATTATTATATATATATATATATATATATATATATATAATCTCACCCCTTAGACCGATGCAGGACCCCGAAGGAGAGTCCACGGCGTAGGGCAATGTTGACATGCTTCCTGACCTTTGGTGCTGGTACATTGTATTCCTGCGATATGTAATTGCTGATCTCCTTAGACGTGGACCCTTGCATGTCTTGCAGCCTCTTTATCGCGTTCACCACTAGGGCCTCGATCCTTGGCGATTTTCTGGGAGTCATGGCTAGGTCTGTGAAAAAAAAAAATTTTTTTTTCTCAAATTCATCATACCAATCTCAGGCAAAATCATTTATGCTAATTACCGTTCGGATGGTCTCATCTCACGGGGAACTCCCGGAAGATGCTTCTCGGTCGCTATGGTCGGTGCCCGCTGACGTTATGATAATATATTCCGATGACGATACACTGGGAATTTTAATTGCACGGGCGATCTCGCATTTCCGGGAATGGCAAATCGTGTTGTTGTGTATTAAAAAAAAAAGAGGGAGGAAGATATAAAAATATCATTGAAAATTACACTCAATAAATTTTTAACATTTTTCTATGAACACCGACCCGCGAGACGGATAAATTTATACAGAAAAACTGTTGCCATGGATACGATCGAAAAATTTTTCTCTTTTTTTTCTTCTAATTTTCATGTTTATTACGGACCACTAGGTTTTTGCTCGATCGAACGTGGAAAAATTTTTATTTGACCTTTTTTTTTTTACGTCACGCTCCTGGAATCTGGCAAAATCTTTCAGATCTTATCCCAATCCCGTCACAGTAGGGCCACCAAGGACCTTTGCGATATCTTGGTCCTTTTCTCTATGCTGCATCCTCCGTACTGTGTCTCGCTCTGTGTATTCCACTAGGGGCAACGAGATGTCTGAATGGCAGCTTGAAAACAGAGACGGCCGAATACACGTATGTCGCGTGCGCAAGAGACAGCACGAGGCTTTTGCAACTGGCGGGTTTATCTACAGGGTTGGTCAGTAGAAACGCACCAGCAGAAGTTGGCCGCAAGTGACCGATTCCCATAAGCTGACAGTTCGCACAGCAATAAGATTATTGAAATATTTCAATAGTTAGGTCACCGAAATAATTAATGAATATTGTATTAAAAAAATATAATATCAGTTAAGATTTATTTTCACAACATATTTTTTGCTATAAAAACATTTGAATTAATTGATTTTTAAATAAATTGCAGCATCGTATTGCAGAATTGCAGTTGTGACCATTAATTGGAAATATTCAAAATTGTGAATATCTTGAGCTTTACATTATTTTAATTGCAATATGTTGTGAAAATAAATCTTAAATGATATTACATTTTGTCATTACAATATTAATTAATTATTTCGGTAACCTAACTATTGAAATATTTCAATAACCTTATTGCTGTGCGAACTGTCAGTTTGTGCTTATGGGAATGGGTCACGTGTCATTTATCGAAGAGGCCATACTGCCGTGTCGGTCACTTGCGGCCAACTTCTGCTGGTGCGTTTCTACTGTCCAACCCTGTATAGCCTCCTTTAGTCACGCACACTCTTATGTTACTTTGAATATTATTTATAGGACTCAGTGTGTACGGCACGGAATTCATTTCGCTCTCTCTCACTCTCACTCTCTGTTCACGTCCTCTTTCTCTCCTTATCAGTCTTACTCTCGGATGCTATGTTGGCTTTTTATATTTTTATCTTGAATCTGTCATTGTCTCTCTCTCTCTCTGAAGCGTGTATCATACATTTCTATATCTCTCTCTTACGCACGGATCAGTCTCCCCAATAATTCAGGTACACTTGAAATTATACATTTTACCCCAAAAACACAGTCGGCCGAGGCCCCCTTCCCACTCCTCCCGAACGATCGATAACTCTAATTTTCATCGAACGATAACTGTACCTTGAGGATAATAAGAAATTTTCATGAAAACTCAAGCCTTCGCTCAGTCTTGAAATATTGGTCATATGCATACTACATTCGTATTAAGAAATATTTAACAAGGAATTCACGCTCGATAACTTATCGAATGTCCCATTGGTTCGTATGACACTTAATGTACCATATTTATATTATGGTCGTTGCCATAAGTATGCGCAGCTATACGAAATAGAGCTTGTACAATATTTCTAGTAGTCACTTTGCGCTTCTCTGGCGAGAACGAAAATAAAGTCACTGAATGCACTCGTTGCGGTATGCGCGGAATATAGAGCCCTATGACGTCACTGGTTTCTGTGAGAACATTAAGCTATATACGCACACCCACGGAAGTCAGATATCTTGGCGTCGAAACAAAACGCTCAGAGCGGGACGATGATAAATGTGTTTAATTAACCAAAAGAGAAAATAAATTTTCTATTTTTTTGTTCCTTCATTTAAGTCATACGTAAAATTAAACCAAAATACATATTGAAATTCCACTCTTGCTTTTTGTTTCAGGTAAGTTTAACGAAAGATAAACCTCATCGACGTCCAGCGTCCAGAACAAAAGATTATTACGAGATAATTTTCGCTCGTCGTGCTTGTCGTTGGCTGCCGACAAGAAGGTGGACACGCAACGGAGCGACCGTTCACGGTGAAATCTTCATTCGGACCAATCGGAGACTAGCGTCTATAACGCAGCGACCAATGAGTGATTGGATTAAAAGTTTTCAGTATGCACAGTGTGAATGCTGCTTTATACCGATTGAGTAGTGAAACTTATGAAAGTGATTCTAACGACGCGACATAACCTTAAGGCGAGTTTCGCGGGGTGGGGGGGG